TGGTGCATTTTTAAATATCTGCCCTGTTTTGCCTCTAATATTTGCTATCAGCATGGCTCTAGAGATGGCAATGTCAGTCTGTTGGTCCAGTCTAAAATACATGGATTGCCATGACATTTTGCACAGACATGGTCTCCAGAGGATGAATCCAACTGACATTGGTGGACTTTTGAAATTTTATACAAGCATCCATGGTTCCCAGATGGTCTATAAATCTGACTTTGATAATCCCCTGACCTTTCCTCTAGTGCCACTATGAGGTTATAATTTGCAGTGTCTTGACAATTATTGGATGGATTGCAGCGACATTTGATTCAGGCATTCATGTTCCCTTCAGGATAAATTGTAACAATTGTGGTGACCCCCCTGACTTTTCGTCTAGTGGTACCAGCAGCTCGAAATATCTGCAAAACTAACAGCATTCTTATCAGACTCAGCTGTCCTTTATGTTTAGTAATAATCAGCAAATGATAGCATGCTGACAGTACGATGGTGAGCCTGGTAAATATTACCGAAAATATGAAATGCAATCCAGGAGGGCCAGTTTAAGTAAAAGATAGTCTCTGATAGACAGGATTTTATAACCCCAATTAGGAGCTTGCACTTTTGTGCTAGTGCTGCTAGCGCTATTGTCATTTTGACCTTGCAGTGAGGTCAATCTCTTAACTCCGAAAAGCCCTCTTGTTTGTGAAGAAGATGTGTGTTTCATCAGCTGCCTCCTTTGTATCCTCCAATACTGGAGCAGCAATAAAATGGTGACAAAAATATCATTTTCAGGATCACAGAGGAGGTAGAGTGTGCAAGGAGGTGTGGTGATGAACCCCATATCACAGTAGAAAATCATCATCTGAACTTGGTACTTCATGTCGAAATTCTGCTGTGGTGGTAATTTGCCTGTTTCAGTCCTCCCTGTCATCTCCTGCTGTTAAAGCACATTTTCAGACACCCTCGTCTCTCTCCCAGTCTGAGGACAGTACATGAAGTGTATTTCTGAGCAGAGTTGTGCGATGCATTTCTCTTCTACTGTTTTAAAACGAATGTACAGCTGTCAAGTGACCTCAAATTGTCATGCTGTGGTGGCTTGACAGAACGATAAAGACAATCCTGGGAGGACATCAGTAGGTGACAGCTGCCTGCTCACAGACTGAGAAAAATACAGTATCATTGTTTTCTACATGCTGATCTAAGTTAATGAATGTAGCTGAATGAATTGCTAAAAATTCAGTTGGGAAATTCAACAAAATAAACTTCTAAAAAAGATTTGCAGGAGCTCACCAGAATAATAAAAAAATTAAATGAGATATGTAATGGGTTGTTGAGCCAGTCCACTATTGGTTTCATGTTTCATGTACCATCCTGGAAAAAGATTATAACTGTCACACAAATTCGATTTTAGAACAACTTGATTTCCCTCTGATTTTGAAAAACACATCATTGATAGAGATAAATTTGCCATCTTCATGTGTCAATCCACAGTGTTTCATTTATCATGTCAGCAAATCCCAAATTTGACCTCCTCTATAGTATTTATATGGTGTATGTTTCATGATGTATGATAAACAGGTTGTATTAAGAGGTAATGGTGGTAATGAGAAGTTAACACAATTAAAAGACATGCAGCCTATTCCCTAATGATGCTACCACTGCTAATAGATGAAAAGTGAAAGAAAACAATACTGTGGATTCTCTACTGAATATGTTTTCTACAGCTGAATTATAAATCAAAAATGAATCAAAAGTAATTCATCAAAATTAACTTAATAAATGTCTTTTTGTGCCTTTTAAAGTAACACAATTAACACATTAATATGCCAAACAAATTCAACATATTAAAATAAACAAACTTAATTAGTTAAATATATGCACTATATGTAGTACTTTCCCCAAAAAAATTTCCACAGCAGGGCATGTTTACACATAGTAATTGGTCTGAAAACTACGGCAAATCCAGATCAACCAGAGGTTGTAGAGCCAAGGTCATTTAAGGGAATGACTACTACATTTGTAAATGAGACAGTGTCATTACGTACTTACAGCAGAGTGACTACACTGAATTGGAAAAGTGGGGTCTTAAACCTCAGAGTAACAATGGCCTCAAATAACCTCAGTAACCATAGTAACACTTCAGTTCCTTCAAACCAATAAGGCTTCTTTAAGTTTATATCTTTTTAATTCAGTTGACACCACAGGAAGCGGAGGTTTGTCAAGTTTTAATGAAACAGCAGCAACAGTGGTGTTTTATTCTTTAAGTTTCGACAGTCCAACACAGTCTTTATATACTGAAAAATAAACCACACACAAGAGGTGCACAAACAAAAGAAAAAAACAAAAATCCCAATTTACCACAATGCTTCAGACCATGAAATGTAATTATGCTCTATGTAAAAACTTTAGCTGTATTACCATTGTCTACATGCTGTTTCAAACGACTGTCCACCCCACTAGGGCTAAATTATGCAGAAAATTCTGCGATACATCATCTTTTATCTCCACAATGCCATGCCTTGACTCATCAGTAATGCTTGTGTAAATTCACGTGCTACATTTGATAAAACATGACATAAATCCCATTGAATGGAGTTATGATATCCTGGAATCTGCTCTGCTGTGATCTTATGAATTATTCTGAGGTAAGGGCCATTCATCATTTTCATCAGATTGCTCACATGAATGGAAGTCACATTTCCCAGTGAGCACTTAAGTGTGATTCATCACAAGTGTATTTCTGTATGTGTGTGTGTGTGTGTGTGTGTGTGTGTGTGTGTGTGTGTGTGTGTGTGTGTGTGTGTTAAGGTTTCCTCTTGAGGGTCATGTATTTATAAGACTCTCCAGAGTAATTCTAATGGATTCATTACCTACTTGACTAACACAGTGGATGTGTGTGCTTATGCTCATGCCTGCTTGTGTGAGCACAAGTGTAAAGCACATTGTATGTGCCTGCTCCCTCTCTCTGTACTGTGACGCTGTTTTTACTGTGTGAAGTGACAGTAGAAAAGCCTCCTGTTGAGAAAGTGAAGAGTCTTAATTTTTAATGAGCACTTTGAGCACATATGTGAATAATTGATGTCAGCTTTTTTCGGGGGTAACAAAAACCCCCATAAAGGCTTCATTCAGTAGCTTAGTGGACAAAAGGCTGACCACAACTGGCAACCCAAATGCTATTAATGACCTCACACTCACATCGGTAATATGACTCAGTTAAACCCCTTACATTCACATTGATCTGTTAAAGTAACTGCTGTGTGGCTTTCAAACATAGGTCTTTGTTTAGGAGAAGTGACAGGACACTGGTCGTGCAATAAAAGAGATCTAGAGCCTTGTTTTCCTCCTCAGCATTGTATTTTTATAAATACATTTAGAGTGAAGTTCCCGCTGAGGAAACAAAACTGCATCATTCAGTCGTTGCCAACAGCGTATACCAATAATTCATAATATATAATTAATTAAATGCAACCTGGACCCTGATAAGAGGCAGAAATGTTGGCAATTAAAAATGATTCATCTATTTAAGCATCCAAGTTTTTGCTAAAGTCAACACTTGTCCATTATGAGATGATCACATTACAAAACAGTGTTCGCTACAGGTCTGATGGTGTTATGCTGACTGGAAAAGAATGGAACGACCTCCTGTCTGGAACTTCCGCAACCAAATATTTATGAGTTTTTAAAATTTAAAAATGTAAAAGTTTTTAATACCTTTAATGGCCTTTTTGAGGAAAATTAATTAAACTTTTCAAGACCTGCAGATACCCTCTGATAACACTGGTAGAAACCTCTTTGTGCATCAGAAATCCTAATTAGGCTTGTGAGACAAAGGGCCTCAGCAACAATTGAGTATTATAATGTGTTCAAACTCGAAGCAGCAGGGCTCATGTTATCATTTCAAGATTTTTAAGTTCCAGTATGGGTCAAACTCCCAAAACACAGATCCAACATTTCCCATAAAGCAAACAATAGTATCTTTTCCTACCTGCCTGGTAAACACTCTAATTTAACCACAACCACACAACCCCTGTCTGTAACTCTCTTTATGTTAAATTTATTTGTCTTCAAGCCCACATAAGTCCACATAAGACATTATACAACAGTTTTTTTAATGTTTAAACTAGTATCAGTTAATCATTTAATCAATTAAAGCCAGTACCAGTTAATGTAACTAAATTATATTGAGCAACGTAAAAGGAGTTATGTTTATGTTTCATAGAAAAACCAGTGGGTTATTTTAAAAACAATTTAGCAACATTTATAGGGTGAAGTGCATTTCTCAAAGGGGCTCTATAGAACACTCAGCCAGCCACTTTGCTCTACAAAGCAGCAAGTGTGTGTGTGTGTGTGTGTGTGTCATTATACACATTCTCATGTCAATAGTGCATTCTGCAGTCTTTCACAGACAAGAAAAGGTTTTTTTAAAAGGGAGGTGATGATGCAAGACTGACTCACTCTCATACCTGTCTCTCTACATTATGAGTGTAAGGAGACTGAGCTCTTCTGTCACCTCATGAACAAAATAAGAGAGGACGGGAGAGCAAGAGCCTGAGAACATTCAAAAAAGGGAAATTTGACCATTTGGCATTCAGATAATGGAGTGAAATGGCATATTTGGCCAAATCTGATGACTTATCAGAGTTTTAGATAGATTTATTATTTGTAGGAGGTCATCGTGGTGAGACATTACTCAAACTTTTTGTTCAGGATGATGTGATGCACCAGGCAGGCATTCAGACATGGCATTTAATTTAATTTGTTTGAGCGCTATCATGCATAAAGAAACAGAATGAAAAGGAAGAATACACTGCCTGTGAAAAATACAGTTAATGAAACACAAGAACTCACTGAATGTGAAATACGGTTAAAAGTGTTAATCAGTGTGAATAAATGTTGATCAAGAGGACATAAGGAGGCTCAAAAGAGAAAACTGGAATTTAGGAAGGAGGAAAAAAAGCAATCAAATCAGTGTGGGAAGTCAGTGTTTTTGATGGATGTCCTGTTACTACGGTTACCTGAGTGCGGTGTGGTGGAGCCTCCACGACTATGGAGGGGAGGAGCCTGAAAGGCGTAGACGACGTCGCTATCAGCAATTGCGGTCAGGTCATCATCATCCGAAAAGGAACGCTGGAAACCTGTGGAATACAACTCTGACAGGATGACCTGGAGAGAGACAGAGAGAGAGAGAGAGAGAGAGAGAGAGAGAGAGAGAGAGAGAGAGAGAGACGCACGGTGAACTTTTGTGCCTTAAGCAATCCAGATTTATTTTGTGTTGCAAATCTAATTCCCCTAACAAGCAGGGTGCTAAATAATTGTTTTTGTTCCCTGGCCAAACGGCTAGTTAATGTTCAAATGTTACCAGCCACTCAATAGATTACCATTGGTTTTTGGCTGGTGCTGAAGCAAATTTATCTACATATTTTTACCAACATTTGGCAGCTGGTGCTATTTATGTACCCTGCCCACAAGGGACAAAAAGACAACACTGAGCCGCAATGGTGCCAGAACTGACTCTATTACATAACGCACATAGATGGATGACAGACATAAACCAACAATGGTACAGTATGCAGTCAAATTCTGAGAGGAAATAAAACTAGATACATTTGTAATCAAAGAAATCAAAGTAAACCTTAAAGGCTGCTGCATTAAATCATATAGAGCAGACTGTAAAAGACTAAAAGAAATTTCTCAAACAAGACCAAAACCAGAGATCACAACTTGGCAACTGAAATACATCAAGATAAAAGTTAAAAACAATAACATCCCTAAAGGGAACGATATTAAAGATACAAATTTTTGAGATGTGTATTTCATAGTTTCATGTTTAAGCAACAAAAAAAACAAAACATTTTCTGTGTCATTGTCAGGGCTCTAAAGATCTGGACGCAATTTTGTGCTTGTTAGTATTTGAAGTGCAGACTGAGAGGTTTTCTTTTCATTTATTTGTGTTTTATGTGTCTTATACCATGACCACAGCCAATTTGTTTGTCATTGACAGGCAGGTGTTTTAAAGTGCAGAATCTGTGTGAAATGATTATTAAACTGCAGGAAACCATAGCAACATCACTTCTGAATTGTGATACATTATAATTTAACTCTCACTGGCAAAACAGAAGAGTTTAATTATAATAATGGATGAGGATCTAAACACAGACTGTGATAAGTGGCCTTGGTGTAACAGACTAATGTTATTTTTGTATGTCAGGACAACTTGTTTGGAGGACACTTGATTCAATATCATGTTTCACATGTTTAAATCTGTAAAGGTCCAATACATGTTGTATATTAGTACTGAAAACTCCAATATGCCGGCGGGTTTGAAACAAATATTTTCCTTAAAAAAAAATCACCAAAATAACACCATAGCCAGAAACTGATGATGAAACAAATAACTGTTTTAAAATTTCTGGAGGTCCCTGAACAAATCATGAGCATAACAACATGTCAAGTTAAATTAGTGATATTTTATTAAAACCACTTTATTCTTCATGTCTCATTTAAAGTTTGCAAAAAATTAACAGAGAGAGAGAGAGAGAGAGAGAGAGAGAGAGAGAGAGAGAGAAGAGAAAGAGAAGAGAGTGTGTGTGTGTGTGTGTGTGTGTGTGTGTGTGTGTGTGTGTGTGTAAAAGAAGAGCCCACAGTAAGTAAAAATGTGACAGAAGCAAAAAACGCCCAGAAACCGCTTGGGGTTCAGAGGGTGAAAAAGAGAGAAGAGATGAAAAGGATCGTAAGAGAATTAATGTCACAGTTTAAAACAGACTCAGGAGGTTAGTAGATGCTTAGAAGAGGAAGACATTGAAAAAAGATCAATGTGGTATGAGTAGTTCAGTATAGAGGTCTCTCTCTCTCTTTCTCTCTCTCTCTCTCTCTCTCTCACTCTCTCTCTCTCTCTCACACACACACACACAGACAAAATATACTTTATATACTTAAATGTACAGGGTCAGAGTTATGGATACAGATGAAAAAGCACCGAACAAGCTGTCTGCTCTACAGCTTTCTGCTGGATGACAGACTCAGTGTGTGTGTGTGTGTGTGTGTGTGTGTGTGTGTGTGTGTGTGTGTGTGTGTGTGTGTGTGTGTGTGTGTCAGCTGTTTGGTCCCCTCCAGAACAGGAATTCCTCTGTCCTGTGACTTGTTTTTGCTAAACCCACAGGCAAAATAAGAGTGATAAAAGCCCAACAAATGCACCAAAATTAACAGAAAAGTGTGGGAGATGTTAATTAAGCACTGTAGTGTCTACACCCGCACATGGCCCTGAGAAGAGGTCTAATCAGACAAGTAAGTGAAAACACCTGTGTAGGTAGAACAAGAAAATCTCACCCTGTGAACTGAAATGAATTTCCTCATCGCGAAACCAGAGGAATTGAAAATGCAAAAACAAGTCAACAGGGAACTTAAATTGTACAATAATACTAAAAGCTTCCATTTCCAAAACAAAGACATTAAGAGCATCCCCATTCGTATGTTCCCAGGGCCCTAAATTCCCCAGATTTATATGGCACATAATGGGAAAATGACAAATGGTCCCATATTCCCAGGCTCCTATGGGTTAGGAACATAGAACCATGAGAACATAGATACACTCCCCACTCATCTCATCCCTCTCTCAACTCCATTATTACACTGAGGGCCAAAGTAATGGATATTACTTTACTGTGTATTTCAGAATAAATTTTGTTGCGACTTAAATGCATACATTATATGTTCTATAACAATAGATAGTGAGGCAGTGCACTTATGAAACATGAAAAAGGTATTTTCCATTTCATGGTACATTTGAGTCTTTACTACTCATTTACTCTCCTGCTGGTGTGGACGCAGGCTTAGAAAATCCAACAGTATTCATCATCGGTCGTAGGGCAGGTGAAAGATGGATGAACACACGCCTCTGGGACCTTTTCTTGTACCCTTTCTCTCGTTGGTGACATTAAAGCTAAGTGTATGCATGCATTCAAGTGTTACCCTACTATAATAGAGAATTCTGTTTGATTTCTTGTTTTTATCTGGGTTTTATTTATTACAGTTTTGGCTATTATTCTCGTGATTTAGGAAAATATTTTGCTCACTAACTGAATTGCTAACCAGTGGAGATGTGAAGCCATCATTAACCATAAGTATATTATTGAAACTACTATGTGAAAGTGAAACCACAGGTGGATGTTAAAAGAATGATTACCCAACAGTTGTAAACATCTGTTAGATCTTGCAGAGTTACTTTCTGGTTGAACTTTGATCTATTGTACTTTTGGGTGGACTTTTTTTTTTACTTGTTATACAGTAGAAGGAAACAATTCTTCATTTCAACAAGGAATTCCAGAAAGCTCACAGTTGCAACTAACAATTAGTTTTGTTATTGATTAATTTTTTGGCATTGTGAAAAATGTCAGTCAAAATTATTAGCCCAAGGTGACGTCTTTAGGTTTCCTCTGAGGAGTCTAAAAAGCTATTTTAAATTATATAAAACAGAGCAAAGCCTCACTTTTAAGATGCGGGAACCTTTTGGCATTTATGGACAAATTAATTATATAATTATTTCTTAAGTTATTTTTTTGGCTTTATTGATGAGACAGGAAAGGTGGGTAGAGAGAGAGGGGATGACACGCAGCAAAGGGCCGCAAGTCGGATACGAACCCAGGCCGCTGCAGCAACTCCGTATGGGTCGCCAGCTCTACCGAGTGAGCTAACCAGGCACCCAAATTAATTATATAATTCTAATAGTCTTTTTCCAAAAAAAGTGTGTGTGTGTGTGCGTGTACCTGGTCCGGGGAGATGTTGCCCTCCTCTGCCACCATGGCTCTCAGGCAGGACAAAGAACCAAAGAGAGGTACAGCCAACCCCACCCGCAGGTACCGCTGACCCTTCGTACTGAACACAAGTGTCACACACATCGACCTGTGGGGCAGATGGAAGAGGGGGTAAGAGGGTAAGAAAGTGTGTATGTATATATATGTGTGTGTGTGTGTGTGTGTGTGTGTGTGTGTGTGTGTGTGTGTGTGTGTGTTAAGGGAGGGAGGGTTAGGAAGGCAGAGAGAGGAAAATACATGACATGTTAGAGCAAAGTGCCAAACCGTTCTGCAATTCTGATTATGCATGTTAACTTTATTACAGATTCCAAACACACCCTGGCATACTGAGTTATTTACATATTTGTATGCAGACACACACACACACACACACACACACACACACACACACACACACACACACACACACACACACACACACACACACACACACACACACACACACACACACACACACAAAGACCCCCCCCCCCCCCCCCCCCCCCCCAAAAGAACAACAGAAACCCAAAAGAGCGAGAATGGTGCAATTATTGCAGAACTCTGGGACACCAGCAGAAACAGAAATCATGTTGTCAGATTGATCAAGAGATATACTGAGCTTAACTAAGTATTGATGTGTTTCAGCTGCTAAATAGCAAAAAACAACATTCAATAAAATGAGAATATGAAATGCACTACTGAACTGTTTAACGTCTAATAACTTTGCAGATAGATTTCCTCTGACAATACTGTTGTGCAAAATCTAATTTCATGACCGTAAACACATCTGATTTGTCTGTGTCTGACTTAATATCTGAAGTGAATTAACTATTTTCAGATTTTGCCTTGTAGCATTTCATTTTTCCTGTGAGTGTGTGTTTGTGTGTGTGTGTGCAGATTTATGCCTGACTGGACATGACGAGCTAACCCAGCACATTGGTGAAGCTGCTTTGTGCTGGGACTTGTCTGACTTTCAGCAATCTGAACACCTCCTGAAAGGGATGCAGGGATGAAAATGATGGAGGGGTACATGGAAGATATATTAAATAGATTAGATCTGAAACCAAGGGTGGAGTTTGATGAAAGGATGAGAGAACAGAAAGGATGGCATGGTAGCGGAGAAAGAAAAAAGGAATGGGAGCATTGAGGAAAAGACGGAGAGGGGGGACAGAGTAAGGTCATGCCTTCTCAATTGGGATGGTGTAATCACTGACACCTCCACTTCCTGTTTCCCATCATGCATTATTCAGGTGAGTAATGTGTTAGCAGTGGGGTGGCAGACAGGGCAGACGGCAGAGGATCTGAGCAGCTGTTTTATTTACGTTGTTAGATGCTCCGAGATGAGACACCGAGATATGAAATGAAACGGCATGAGAGGTGTGGGATGAGTGCGGCACTTGAGAGCAACAGGAAATTTTGATGTAATCTTAAAAAGCATTTTTTTGCAGCCTCCCAGCCCCCTGCTGGTTTGGAGCCTGGTAGTCTCTATTAAACAGAAACCTCTCATATGTTCCCACATGGAGCACCGTGGAGTGCACAGTGCTCTTCAGATCATTCAAACTGGTCTTGAAAAACTGTTAAGAGGTTAGATCCAGGATTATTGTTTACAGATTTAATAACCCTACAAGTGTCTCTGCATGTTTTACATTAATTACAACAAATCCTGTGTACTTCACATCTGCCATCTATTTTTGTTGCAATGTTTTCCCACTTGTTCCAGTTCATGCACAAGCATACAAGGTCAAGCATGTTTGTAGTAACGAGTCAGCATAGTAGCAAAGTGTAGCATCTCAAAATAATTGTCATTGTGATAATGGAAGCTGAAAAGTCTGTTTCTGAAGGAAAACAGTGGACACAAAACGTTCCTTCTGGGCTACTGTAGAAACATGGTGGTTCACCATGGTGGACTCCAAACATAACAATGATATTATATTCCATTTCTGCCAATAGATCCTCCTAAATGTTACACACTAGACCTTTATAAGATTAATAAGATATTAGCATTGCAATCCTGCAATTACAAAATAACATTGTCAAACCTGAGATGAACATAAATTATACAAAAATAAATAATAAAGGATCAAGATCTATGCAGCAGAAGCAAACATTTTTAAATTCCACACATTCTTCATTTTTTCCCCCTATATATATATATCTTTGTTTTGGCCTTTTTCATTGGCTTCATTGGATAGAGACAGCTGTAGATAGACAGGAAAGGTGGGTAGAGAGAAAGGGAATGACACGCAGCAAAGGGCTGCAGGTTGGATTCGAACCCGGGCCTCTGCAGCAACTTTGTACATGGGTTGCCAGCTCTACTGACTGAGCTAACCGGGCGCCCCCCACACATTCTTCTTACTTGTCAAAAGTTTGTTTGGAGATATGGTGAGTTATGCTCAGTTGACACTGACTCACGTGACATCATTTGAGGCAATTTTGTTTTCACATAGCTGCCTCTGGAGCCACAAAAGGCTGTATACAACTTTTGTCACATATTCAGTAGCACTTTCTAAAACTTGTAAACAGACTTTGAGTTCCCCTTTAATGGATGCTTTTTACCTCCATTATCACACAATTATAACTTTGTCAAAAATAAATAAAATTAAACAAATAAATAAATCTGCATCTTGTAATGAAGTGAATGGAACCCAATGTAAAATGTTGTCATGTTTATCACTGTATGTTTGTTAGTGTTTGTTCAAGTGCACCAGAATTCATTAAATGTTTGATTAAGGAGTTAGAGGAATCATCAGTTAACTTCACATCTTGTGATTATACAAACACACCTGTGCAAAGAATGTTTGAAAATCAGTTCAGATATTTGACCTACATATCGTGTACGTAATCTAATACTTGTACATCCACAAAGAAAGAAAACAGGTACAAGCTGCATGCAATCAAATACTCCTTTGGTAGCCTGTTTGCCCTATTGTCCAATTGTACCTACAGTACCAACCCAGAAGGCTATACAAAGGCCCAGTGAGACCTACTGATCTAAATAACACTACAGTCACTAACAAGCATCTTGGAAAAGTTTTAAGACTTTTCTGAATATTTTCAATAGCTTAAGTAAAAATAACTTGAGAATTATGCTCAGACTGACTGTGCAAGGCTAGATCAAGAAAAAACAGTCAAAGATACTGCCATCCTCCTTTTCTCTCTGCCATACTGGCATTATCTGCTGCACCCAGACCTCAATGCCATGCTGCCAGACAGACCCTGCTGTGTCTCTGGGGGCCGCAGACTTTTCAGGCATTCTGCTGGAATACTGCTGCAGCAGGGCGATGCAATGAGGCCACTGTGTGTGTGCATGTGTGTGTGTGTGTGTGTGTGTGTGTGTCAGGTCAGTTTGGGTTCAGCAGTGAGTCCACACTGAACCTGAATGAATTTCCCACTGTGCTGGGCTCAGACAACTGAAAGGACAGACCACACACTGTTAAGGAACTCACACTGTAAAACTGGGTGTGGGGTTAGGACTGTGGAAGACATGCAGAGAGGATGCAGAGCAGCGGCGTCTGCATGCTTGAAGATAGGAGGATTCATTGAACACTGAATGCAGGAAAATTGTGAAATCGTGTGACTGGAATTTCTTGTTTTTTATGTTTTATGCATGATTGGATACATGGGCAGAGAGAGAAAGCCGATAACATGAGACAAAACCCACAATATTGTGGTCACCCAGTATGCCTTGGTCACCATGATGCCAACTCATTCAACTAATTTTAAAAGGCCCTGCACACTGAAACTGGTGTTTTTACTTATTCTGTTTGATTAGACCTCGGCCTCTATTCAGGTTGAAGGAGATCTGGAGATTTGATGGGATCTCCTTGATAAAGGTGTAATTTCTCCGACCATGACACGTGCAACAAAGCTAACAGGAATTAATTATATTTATACTACAGTATGTATGTCCACACAATCCTGGGAAGAGCTTTAATCAGGCAAAATAATTAAAATCACCTGTGTGGGTGTGTAGGGCCTTTTAGTGGAACCAGTTACTAATTGCTGATGCCTAGAGTACACTAGAGCCACAAACTTTGTGAATCTGTCATCTCTCTCTCTCTCTCTGCATTGCCAAAATCCAGAAAAGTTATTTGTGTCCTTTTCCCTCTCTTGTTCTCTCTCTCTCTGTCTCTTTCTTAATATGTCAAAGTCATACAGCAAGACCTTGCTGACATATAGCTTCTGGTACGGTTAAAAATGGAAACAACACAGAAAGTGTTTGCTCAAGGACTTTTGATGGCCACCATTTATCACTGTGGTATGACATGGCCAAAAGCTGTTGATGTGTAGACCATATGTATGTAAAATGTGGGCATACTTATGTGTTTGTGCAGTCATTGGTGATTTGGAAGAATTTCAAGCAGACTATTTCCTGTCAATATTGATCAGAGATAAATATGATATCTTCTGAACTTTTTATACAATTTTAGTGTACTTTTTAGTGCTGTCAAACGATTAAAATATTTAATTGCGATTAATTGCATTAATGTCATAGTTAACTCGCAATTAATCGCACATTTTTATCTATTCTAAATGTCCCTTGATTTCTTTTTGTCCCATTATTTTTTCTCATTTTAATGTTAATTATCAACATATACTGTAGTGTTCAATTTCACACTAACATTCTCACTTGGAGCAGTCATTCACACTTGGAGCAAATAATCTCTCACACAATGTAACACTGTCCATCAATGAAAGGGTAGGGCAGCCCTTTCTAAGGGATCAAAACAGGGTGATACAAAATAAAATTACAAAGTGCACATGTAAGGTAAACTAGGACTCAGCCTATAGTGCAGTTAAACCATGGCTTAATACTTTTCTCAAGTTTGCTTTGAACATAGCAGTCAGGCTACTGCTCTTTATTCACCAGAGGCTCAACAACCCAGCCTCTTATTTCAGACTGGACGTGCTGCGATGATAGCTCAGTTCACAACGACAAAACACACAGATCACTTTGGTCTTGTCAATGGAACCATTTGGCAACTTTTTAAAAGTAAACTTTCCATTCAGAATATTATTGGCATCCGTTTCGGCGTCTCGCGCTCGCCATCCACTCAAAACGTAACATCTACTACTCTTAAACAATGGTGTGTGGCATGCCTGTTGTTTTGTTTCTGGTCTAGCTAGATCCGGTGGGTGTTGTAGTTTTTCTAACGTTACTAGTTGTGGCAACAGCATGTGAAAAAAACTACAAAGTGTGCTAGGCCAAAAAGAACATTAATCTTGTGGGAAAAAAATTTACACCGTTAAAATGGGTTTGCGTTAACGCTGTTAATAACGCGTTTAACTGACAGCACTAGTACTTTTATAATTTTTAAGAATCATACATACTTTATAGTCCTGTTTTTTGACAAATTCAATGTTTTCTTCTCTCTGATGCTCAGCCATTGTTGTATTAGCTATTTCTTTGTTTCAATAATCTTTGCTTTCATAGAAATTAATGAAATGCTGAGATATAAGCTTACTGTGTATATTTAAAACACCTCTTACAATCAAAAAGGACTTGTATGGTGTGGTAGAATTCTCAACATACCACCAAAATGAGATCAAAGTGAAAACATAAAACAACACTTAAAACTCCTGACATTAACAGTTAGAAGAAATATAGTCCAGGTAGTACAGACAGCAAGAAATGTGTCCTTCTGTGTAAACTGATTACTAATTATTATTAAATTCTACCACTTGTCATGTGTTATACATCACCTGGTTTGTCGTAGGGGGATCGGCAGGGAGATACATAAAAACGGGTCGAAGGTGTTGCTCTGCTTAAGGCAATGAGGGCACGTCAGAGAAGACCTGGAGACAGACAAAGAGAGGCAGAGAGAAATTTTTATCATTTTTGCAATAAGCGACCACAACTCAACACATACTCTGGGGTTTGACAGTCTTGAAGGAACTATCATTACATATTTTCCTTTCCATAACATCCTTTTCCCAATTAATTTTGGTCCATTTTCATATCTGCCAATTGCAGTCACACAGCTTATAACCCTTAAATGTTGCAAAGACAACATCCATTGGAGAGGAAAGCTCATTTAACTTTACATGACTTCACATATAGTGTTGGACAGATGGAATAACAGATACCACTATTCCTACATGCCAAATGCTCCAATTTCCTCTTAAGTATGGGGTAAATGTGCATGCAGTTAAAACCTCCATGACGGTTAAATGTGAATATTCCATGTGGACAATGGTGAATACTAAGCACTGAAACAGGCCATCTGGACTCGATCTGCTGTTGAGAAAAGGGTAGCAAAGCAACAGAGGTGGGATGCTGTTCCTAATTTTGGCACCAAAAAAAAAACAGGCAGGTGAGATATTTCCCTAAATGAAAAAGGGCTGTATCCGACCTGAAGAACACGCTGAGCTGGAGACGAGAGGAGGAGCACTTTGCAGAGAAAAAAGTTAAGAACAAAAGGTAAAGAATGGAAGCTGTATGGGTTTATTTAGAGGCAGAGAAGATGTTAAGGATCGACATGTTTAGAGGAAGAGAGAACAAAAGTGGAGAGCAAAGAGACCGATACAAGGAGAAAAACAACAAAGTGCAGGGCTCAGTGGGAGGACAGATTAAAAATGAACAGAAGGTTGGCAGCAGGACAGTCGAATTGATAGTAACAAGACAGCAAGGCTGATGGAGAAAAAAAGACACCGACAGGACACCGTCAAGGTCTTTGAGCCTACAACAGTGGAGCTGATCAGAGCGGGGGAACGACAGGAAGAAAGAAAAACTGAGTATCTAAACCTGTGGGCTGGTATCAGCAAAAATCTGCAGCCAAACCGCGAATGGCGATTTAGAGGAAAACACTGACATTTTGGAAAATATTTGTTTTATTGCCAAGAGTCAGATGAGAAGATCATGTCTGTTAATGAAATTTAGGGAGACGGTTAGCTTAGCTTAGCTTAAAGACCACAAAATAAGGGGAAATAGCTACCTGGCTCTGTCCAAAGGTAACAAAAAATAATGAAATATCACAAGATGTTAATTACTGCACTTTAGATGTGCTGGTAGGTGGATTTTGTTAGCTTAGGACAAAGCCAGACTAGCTTATTCCTTTCCTGCTATATCCAGTCTTTATGCTAAGGTGATCTAAGCTAATGGACCACTGACAGGCATTGATCTTCTCACCTAACTCTTGGCAAGGAAGTGAATAAGCATATTTTCCCAAAATGTTGAGCTATTCTTTTAAGATATAGCCTACATGTACAAAATATTAGCACAGCCCTATACTAACATAATTTTGGTTGCTCTATGAAATCTACGGTAAGTGTTATTGGGTTCCTCTGAGCGTTTCCTGGTAGTATTTGCAGCAAATACATATCAAACATAGGTTAGCTAACCTACATACACTGACTTAGCAAACCTCTGTATCATAAGGACTTAAGCAAATGTGTGTCCTGGTCTCAGGCATATTCAAGTCCTAAATAAGTCTTCACTGCAAATACCAGAAAAGCCTCAAAAGATTGTGTGATGGAAACAAACAGTAGTCTGACACTGACAGTGTGAGAATGGATAAGGAAACAGAATAAAATTCAGCTCTGACTACAGCTCCACAGTAAGTTCACAGTTATGCAAGTTTCCTAGTGTGAGTAATACTTTTGCTTTTATCTTAACAAACCATGACAAAAAATAGCCTCAAATAACCCATTGTCCTTCCTGTAACTCTAATCTAGCCTTTTCAATGGCAATCAAGTGAAAACACCAAGTTCAGTTTGTTCTAGTGCGATATAATCCTCTCACAGTGTAGCAACATAATCCTTTTATTCATGTGAGATCACTTAAAGTTATTCAGTAATTCGAACCATTTACATTTTCTATTCAAACTATTTTTTTTGGGCAACTTGACAAAAATGGCTGAGTTACCCATTTGTCTCCATCGGAGATAAATCCATTATGCTTTATAAGGATAATACGCTTTAAATGAGCCTGAAGCTGCTGATACAGCATTTTTCAAACTGTGGTTATTCTTAAGTACAGTTATATAAGTTAGATAAAAGTAGTTCAAATTTGAAAAAGTATGTGTGTGTATATACTGTAGCTTATACGTTTCTGAATATGAAGCACCGAAAACTTGATTCTTCTTTTTGGTGTTGTTTGTATTTGATAATTGAAAGAAAATCATTGCAATGTTGCTACATTACGCTCTCTTATCACTGATAGTGTGTGTGTGTGTGTGTGTGTGTGTGTGTGTGTGTGGCCAGATGCTTCTTTCATTCATCTCACCGTGTCTCACTCTCACTATCATTTCTGCCAGTTGAGCTGTATCGAAGTTTGTGGAGATACAAACTTGTCAAATGTACAAATATACTGGATATAATACAACATTTTTCAAGCTCCACATTTCCTTGCTGTCAGTGTTGTAACTACTGTGCCGTGGCAGCCAGTCACAAGCTCGCTAATGATGCCAGTTTGTACTCAGTAAAGCAGACTGACAGGCTGTATTCACTCACACACACTGACACACACTGACACACACAAAATGTTGTGCACACTCAAAACTCTGCACTTATGCTGAAATTCACACATGTGCGTGCAAGAACAGCCACACACAAAAACCCATAGCATCACTTAAAAAAGCTCATCTTGAGGCTGACAGTGTTTCCAGTCTGGTGGAGAATACGAGATCAGTATTCCTGCTGATGTTTATGAGTGTGTTTGTGACAGACATAGAGCAAGGGTTGTACTTTGTGTACAACGTTAAAGTGTCAAACCAAAAGACTACCATTCTTTAGTCTCGACCAGATACCTGGAGCTGCACCGCATATGTATGTATGTATGTATATATATATATATATATATATATATATATATATATATATATATATATATAACACATACATACATATACATATACATATACATATATACACACACACACACACACACACATACATACAGGTACTACTCGGAAAATTAGAATATCCTGAAAAAGTGCATGTATTTCTGTAACTCAACTTTAAAGGTGAAATTGACTTATTATATAGACAAATAGTATGCAAATCAATATATTTCAAGCTTTTATTTGTTTTGATTTTGCTGATTAGGACTTGCAGCTTCAGAAAACCTCAAATTCAAAAACTCAGAAAATTAGAATACTGCTTGAAATCAATAAAAAAAAAAAAAAAAAAAGGATTTTAAATATAAAAATGTCAGGCCTCTGAATGTAAAATCTTGCATCTGTACTTAGTACTTGGTTGGGGCCCCTTTTGCACGAATGACTGCCTTAATCTGGCGTGGCATGGATGCTACCATCTTGTGGCATATCTCAGGTGTTATGGAAGACCAACATGCTTCAATCGCGGCCTTGAGCTTTTCTTTATTGTTTGGTCTCTTCCCGTTCAGCTTTCTCTTGGCAATGCCCCATAGATTTTCTATGGGGTTCAGGTCAGGTGAGTTTGCGGGCCAGTCAAGCACCGTAATCCCATGGTTGTTGAACCAGGATTTTGTACTTTTGGCAGTGTGGGCAGGTGCCAAGTCCTGCTGGAAGATGAAGTCCGCATCCCCATAAAGCTGGTCCACTGAAGCAAGCATGAAGTGCTCTAAAATGTAGACAGCTGCGTTTATGCTGGACTTGATAAAGCACAGAGGACCAACACCAGCAGCTGATATGGATCCCCAAGTCATCACAGACTGGGGAAACTTAACACTGGACTTCATGCATCTTCCATTTTCCACCTCTCCGGTCTTCCTCCAGACTCTGGGACCTTTGTTGCCACATGAGATGCAAAACTTGCTCTCATCAGAAAAGAGGACTTTGGACCACTGGCCAACAGTGTCTTCTCTCTAGCCCAGCTAAGGCGCCTCTGGCCTTGCTTGCTCGTGAGGAGCGGCTTGACAACAGGAATTCGACATTTGAAGCCCATGTCCAGCATCCGCCTGCGTGTCGTTTCTCTTGAAGCAGCAACTCCAGTCTGAGTCCACTCCTTATGAAGTTCCCCCACACTTTTGAATGGCCCTTTCCTGACCATCTTCTCCAGGCTGCGGTCATCCCTCCGGCTTGTACACCGTTTTCTTCCACACTTCTGCCTTCCACTTAACTGTCCATTAATGTGCTTTGAGACAGCACTCTGAGAACACCCAGCTTCTTTTGCTATCACTTTTTGTGTCTTACCCACCTTGTGCAGGGAGTCAATGATGGTTTTCTGCACAACTGTGAGATCAGCAGTCTTCCCCATGATTGTGAATTCTTCTAAACCAAACAAGACACACCAAACAGACTTTTTAAAGGCTCAGGACCCTTTTGCAGGTGTTTTGGATTACTTACCTGATTAGTGTGTGACACTTTGAGCCTACAATACTGAAGCTTTTCACAGTATTCTAATTTTCTGAGTTTTTGGTTTTGAGGTTTTAATAAGCTGTAAATCATAATCAGCAAAATTACAACAAAGAAATGCTTGAGATATCTCACTTTGCATGTAATGAGTCTATAGAATGTATTGGTTTCACCTTTTATGTTGAATTGCCTGAATAAAACAACTTTTACACGATATTCTAATTTTCCGAGTAGTACCTGTATATACATACATACATATATATATACACATATATACACATATATATACATATATATATACACACATATACACACACACACACACACACACCAGCAGCTGCTCTTATTTATCAGAAAGAAAGTTGAGATGCTCAGCATCCCTCCATTCTGCTCGGCGCTAAATAAATAACACTCCTACAGCAGCATCTCTAAACATTATGCAGTATCAGGTTGCCTGTTTCCAGCCATTTTTAATACCTTTATTCTAAATTGAGAAGGTTTGCAGAACAATACAGGACATGA